CGACAATATCTTTGGCTACCACTGCATTCGATCTTCTGCATCACTTTATCAGTGCTATGTAACGGTGTTGTTCGTCCGCTCATGGTCTAGGCACGGGGTGAGATATCGCTGGATATCCAAATCATCGAGAAAGAGAGAGAGAGAGAGAGAGAGAGAGAGAGAGCAGGAAGACTAAAAATTCCCAATACCCAGGCATTTGCTGTAAAATGTTGTTGGTGACTCGAGAGACCCGAGGTCTCAGAAGTCGATTCAAGACATGAATCCAAAAGGCAGAGTATTGCAAGACTTTGTGCTGTGGTGAAGCTGACAAGGTATCAATCACTATAAGGTTTTCCAATGAGCAGGTCAGGTCCAAGTCGGAAACTCCTATAAAAATTGTTCTATTGTACATGGCTACCCTAGGAATGATAGGCGCGGTGTCTTCGGTGCTTCCCGATACTCGCAGCTGACTTCCAGCGATGGGTGAGTTCATATATGAACCTCTTGCAGAAGAATCCTACCACATACGACCATAGGGTGTGGAAAACAGGGCTTCCCGTCCGCTCAGCTGTACTTAAGCCACATGTAGAACGTGGTCAATCCCCAGAAAGCCCTTTTGCCTCTAAAGCAGCGGCGTGATGCTTTTAGTATAAGTGCTGGTGATATGGGTGAGGACCCATCACCCCTGGTGATGATGGCTCACTGGTGGTAACAAGGGCTCCAGGGGGGTGATGAAGGCGAACTCAGCAGTTGACCGCAGAAGAAAATAATAATTAAGCTGCTTTTAATAGGCTCTTCCCCTGCAGTTTGAAGAGATGCACTGATTGTCACTGAATCTATATAAAGTATTAATCCTCTCAGCTTCCACCCCTTTGATTGCATGTGACATCATATGACCATGGCTTCCAAGGATGCTAAGTTATAAAAACTACTAGAGGAGCACCTGAGGCTGGCAGAGTCATGTAGCTTTACTCTTGAATACCAAAATGAGTAAGAGAAGAAAGAGAATATTATAAGTTTCCCAAGGCTAGCACCGGCAACTTGTGAAAAATATGATTAAGTAGCACTCCAATAGGCTTTATAAGTATCCATCCTAGTTAAGCTAGCAAGGCAACTCTTAACACTTTTTCTTTAGATGGAGACTTTCTCGCAAGGAGACTGGAACAAAAAACTTCTCTAAGGATGAATTAGATCCCTCTCCGTAAATTCTAAAGCTTTTTGTGGAGTTTTACATCACTACCTAAAAAAGCATGTACCCTCGCAGAAGACAGCATGCTGTTTTTTTACCAGCTTCACCTCAAGATGGGAGTGTGAGACGTCCAGGAGTCTCCCTATGGAAGTAAAGAAAGATATCCTTAATATATGTGATCTAAGCACATCTGTTGTCATAATTAATGCTAATATAGTTCTGCTTAGTTCATATAAAATGATCTAATAAGTAAGTATGCCCTTCCAACAGAACCAAGGACACACTTCCTAGTTACAGCCAAGGATATTGAATACCTGCTTCGCAATTTATTTGGGGATGATACACATGATTATGTGCATGAACGGGCATAAGTCCAAACTGGAAGTGTGCTTGCTCTCTTTGCAGGTTCAGGGTCCAGAGCTAGCGTAATTATAGAATCAAGTTCTTATTAAAATATAAATAAGTGCCTCTACTACAAGGTTAGTGCTTGCAATGTCTGCTCTAAGGTTTGGTTCTCTGACTCTTATACAAAGCATCTCTTATTCCATATAAAATGGAGCAATCAGGCTGGGATAGTGAAGAGATGGGTGACAATTAATCCTTAATTCCTTAAAGGATGGCGCTACCGGGATGATGTAATTTTGTAGGCTGTTTCCCTTCTTTTATTCCCTATGCAACCCTGCTCTCAAGACTACTGTCATTTAATTAGGGGCTTACTGTGCTACTAGGCCAAAAACTTGGTTCAGGGAACAACCAATTCTTATAATAAATTTTGTTTTTTAGGTCATCATCCACAGCATTGCAGATCGTGTGTTTAAGGGCATATCCTCTGTCAAGGAGTTACTGGCCTAAAGACCTCCGGAGGGCAGAGAATCATGGACTCTGCAGTGGACTAAGACTGCTAGAGAGCTCCCCTTTTTCTGAATGATCACTCCAAACGGACCAAAAGCAGACAAAGGACTGACATTCTCCTGGTTGAGACATAGTTTCACAAGTCTAGCGCAAAGAGATGGATTCGAGGACCAATTACGCGTCCACGGAATCAGAGCAGAGCTCGCAAACAGGGTAGATTGTAAGCTGACGCCGCCCACTACATTTTTTTACCTCCCCTTTGCTTTCTGATTTCCCCCACCTTTGCATAGATGTCTGTCCAGTGCTGATTAATTATATAGCTAAAGCCTCAGAAGCTACACGTAGCCAAGTGCTTGACCATCAAGACCACAACACATTCCTCAAATATCAGGCTCAGCTCAAGGCATTGGATATGCAGGCTTTGATGTATGGTATGGAACCAGATTATGAGTGTTGAGACATGGAATAGAGCATGGCGCATCGTCATGATCTGAATGTCCCTCTTCGCCTCGACGCCGCGACACTATTCGAGTTCGAACACGACGAGGAAATCGTCGGCCTAAATGCAAGGATCGCCGACCTTTCGCGAAGGATTGCAGGTCAGCCCAGCATTCATAAATCACTGGCGGAAGAATGATCTAGGCTGTACACATAGAAAGCAAAAAAGCTTCAGGCAAAGTAATCTAAGTATATTTCACAGTGGTGGAAAGAATGCTACAAAGGATACATCTCTGGAAAGGGATTCACTGAACATGATACGACAAACCTATTCAAGATCTACGCCAAATATATCCCGACTAGAACTCGCCTGCGCGAAAACCTGTTCAAAGAGGTACCTATTGATAGTGAGGTGGGAAGATAATGCCTTCAGGACATGGTTAGTCTCTGTACATCAACTGAGAGAGTTGTGTACTATCCTGGGTTAACCCCTGTTGATGGGCAATGTCCGGTCTGCCAAAAACCTATAGAAAGGTTTGCACCCCACTTTACTTTAAAGGCTATAGGGACTGACAAGTTACTAGTGTTGCCCGGCAACTGCAAGATCGTGCAAAGTATATTCTATAATGCCAGAGGAAGGCATTAAATGCGGCTCCTTACTAACAGTGCTATAAGAATAGCAAGAGAGCTCACTACTGTGTCCAAAGAAACTTCATGCAGTTCTGCTACTTATGTGCGCAGCTGTCATACAGCGAAGAAGACTGGAATTAGCACTGTGGTCTTTATTTAGCTAATCTAAAACCCCGGTGTGGGCTGCTGATGTTCTGCTACACCCTTGTAGCTCCTGGTTTCTGCCCCTTCTGTCTAGGGGACGGCAACAAGAGACCAGATGAGCATTTCAAGCAATGGCTGAACAAGGCCATGCTCTTGAATTATATTGATGGGCATCTCTCCCAGCTGCTGTCGGGAAACCTAGTTACTTGCCCTCATCCCTGTTGCTCTGGGAAGGAGTATGGCAGCATCCTAGACTTTTGGTGTCACCTTTTTGATGTGCACTCCATCGAGGAACCTTGCTCTAATTGCGTGATAAGGAAAAGGCATTGGAGTTTGGAGCCTGAAGAGTCAAAGACTGTCCCGGAGGAGCAGCCGGTTGAGGAAGGGAAAAGAAGAAAATTAGTCTAAGTGCCATTGTTGGTTTGAAACGTCAGGTTGCTATATCTAAAGTATATCTTGGATGAATCCATCTACTATGAACGCCCTGGATTGTAGCCACGCATGTAGAGTTCTGCCCAGTCATCGACATTCATAGCCTGTCTGGGAGACCAAAAATTTGGTCTTAGTTGTTCCAGCGTTTGCTAGCATCTGACAGTCTTTTCTGACAACACTCCGTTCTCCGCTCAATCCAAGTCGTACGTCTTTGCAAGGTGTTGAGGGGATCCATTGGTTAACTTCAGACCCTCAACGGTAGATCAGTGGTTGTTGACTAATGTAGACGAGATGCCTGTTAACGCATAAGTGACATTCATGAGGTCAGCGCTAAATGTACTTTTGTCGCTAGCAGAAAGAACCATCAGGCAATGGAGCTCTCTGGTCAGCTTATTGCAAACGCAGGTCGAAGCATACCTGGGCTCCTCAGGAACGCCTGGCTTGGTCACTGCTGCAGATTCGACAATGCAAAATGCTCCAGAGAAGTGCCGGCATGCGTGCTCGGATTGCCTGCAGAAAGGCATGGGGACAAAAAGCGCTTCTCCGGCTCACCTAATCTGAAGAGCTCCAAAGACAAGCTCAAGACTTTCTGAAATGCAACTTTTTGAGTCCGCAAATGGGGGGGTTAGAAGGCAATCACTTTTCATAATGACTTCGCTTCCTGGTTTTCTTCTTCTTCGTTCCGAAGCTTAGTATTAGCATCCAATGCTACCTTATGTTTCTCGCGAATGAGCTGCGTGGATACCTATCATCGTATCTGAAGACCTGTCAACCCCTGTCAGTGCTTTGATTTTGAATTGATTCGCTGCACTGTAACCGCTCTCAACAGCGAATAAGATGTGCACTGGGATGAAACTGCTCTGCGACAGTAAGCCACGTGGCAAGGTCCGGTGATTGAGCTTTCAAGGCCTTCCGTGTGACATGATCGCCACGAAGATACAAGCTCGGATTGCCAGCTTAGTCTAGGGCATCTGAAATTTCCACTTTATCTAAGATCGGCATACCGTATCCCGGTTCTTTGCGAAATCAAAGGAGGAATCGGGCACATACAGATCCCATTGGGCAAATATAAAATGCTAAAATGGATTCTATTTAGCAGCTGACAAGGAAGCAAGGCAGTCTCAGTGCGGCCAATAATATTTCGTCTTTTACTGCCCAGTGTATGCCTCGTTCGCAGCACAAGGCTGAGCTTTAGTGGTTAATATTATGCTCTCCAGTCCTCTTCAGCAACGTCAGATTTAACAGCCTGCCCTTCAATTTTTCTATGAACATTTGTCTTTGGTCGTCAACGCCAGATCAGAGCAGAAATTCGTCTTGGTCGTACCACATAACAACCATGCCTTGTCCTGCACGAGAGGAATTTAAGATCGGCTGGATCTGTGCCCTACCTATTGAGGCGGCCGCAGCCAAAGACATGCTTGATGAAGACTTTGGACTATTTGAAGAGCAAGATGCTACAGATACAAACTCATATAGATTGGGTCGAATTGGGAAACACCATGTCGTGATCGCCTGCCTGCCCGGTGGACAATATGGAGCCTGCGCAGCTACAACAGTCGCAAACAACATGGTCCGTACGTTCTCAAAATCGTTACGGATCGGTCTGATGGTCGGTGTTGGAGGAGGCATCCCATCGACAGATCATGATATACGGCTTGGTGATATAGTGATTAGCTGCCCGACCGGCAGTTGTGGAGGCGTGGTTCAATATGATATGGGCAAGGTCACTGCGGACGGTGTATTTTGCCGAACTGGCTTTTTGAACAGTCCTCCCAGACCACTGTTAACAGCAGTTAACAATATGAGGGCTGCTGAGCTAACTGATGATCCCCGCTACCCAGAATATCTTCAAAGAGCGATCAGTAGGACCGGACGGACGCAGGCAAACTTTGGCCGACCCAGCTCGCAAAGTGATCGATTGTTCAAAACGGAGCATGAACATCCTGCTACTGGGAAGAACTGTGATAGATGTCCAAGAGAATGGGAAGAGACTAGACATGAACGGGACGGTCAGGATCCGCTGCTACACTATGGTATTATTGCTTCGGGGAATTCAGTTATCAAAAACGGTTGCACAAGAGAACAGCTTTGTTTGCAACTTGGGGCACTGTGTTTTGAGATGGAGGCAGCAGGCTTGATGTTAGACTTCCCTTGCATTGTTATCCGTGGCATCTGCGATTACTCTGATTCACACAAGAACAAGCAGTGGCAAGGTTACGCTGCCATGGCAGCGGCAGCATATGCGAAAGAGTTGCTGGAATATGTCCCCCAGGGTCAAGTCTTGCAAGAGAATCTTGCAGTAGATGTATGCGGTAAGTAATACGCAGATTAGCCTAATATTAAGAAGAGCATGTGGTTTACTTATCACTGTATAGGCTCCATAGAAAATTTAACTCAAGAAGTCAAAGGCACAAATCAATGACTGGATATAGCGTACAACCAACAGGAACGGCACTATCGTGAACAAACAGCTAGAGTCTTGACCGATCAACAACGAAAGTGTCATCAAGAATTCAAGATATGTAACTACGAGCAGCATAAAGACATCAATCCAGGTCGTGTCCCAGGGACATGTCGATGGGTTTTACAGAATCCACAATATCGTCGTTGGTGGAAGAGTTGCTGCAATGATCTTCTATGGATATCAGCCGACCCTGGCTGTGGAAAATCTGTTCTGGCCAAATCACTTATTGACGATGACTTCAAAGCATTGAGTCCAACAGTGTCGCTCTGCTACTTTTTCTTCAAGGACAATGATGAGCAGAACAATCTTGCTACAGCATTATGTGCCATACTTCACCAGCTCTTTAGCCAACAGCCAAATCTCCTGCAGTATGCGGTGCCATCCTGGAAGAGGAATGGGAGCAAACTCCAGCAAGAGGCTGGTGAACTTTGGCGTATCTTTATAGCAGCGACATCAGATCCCACATCAGCCGTCACTATATGTGTGCTTGATGCGCTTGATGAATGTCATCCAGATGATCAAAAGCAACTCATCTGGAGACTCAAAGACTTCTACAGTCGCATTGATTCATCGAACTTTGAAAACTGGTTGAAGTTTCTGATAACCAGTCGCCCCTATGATGAGGTCGAGGACAGATTCAAACCTGTCACGGATTTCTTCCCATATATACATCTCAAAGGGGAGGAAGAAAACTATCAAATCCGCGAAGAGGTTAATCTGGTCGTAAGGATCAGAGTGAAGGAGCTGGCTGAAACGGCATTACTATCATCCGATGTACAGCAGCGGCTTGAGCACCAACTTCTTCAGATGGAACACCGCACGTATCTTTGGTTATATCTAGCCATTGATGACCTCCGCACCACATTTAAAGACAGTCTTTGGCCAGCCGAGGAATCAATTCGATTGATACCTCCCTCCGTGGATGCGGCATACGGAAAGATCCTTGCTAGAGTTCCGTCCAACCAAGTCAATACAGTAAAAAAGATTCTTCAGATTATTGTCGGTGCAAGGCGTCCCTTGACAACACAAGAAATGGCTACGGCGTTAGGTATAGCTTTGTACCCAGAGTCGCGGAGTGCAGCAAAAGCTGGAATTGATCCAGTACAATTAGCCAGGAAGATACGACAACTATGTGGTCTGTTTGTGTTTATCAACAATTCAAAAATATACCTTATCCACCAGACTGCCAGAGAGTTCCTTATCGGGAGGGATTTTATCAGAAATCCCAATTCTATGTATGCCTTCAACCAGACAGACGCTGAGCGTCTAATTGCTCGGGTCTGTGTTCGATACCTGTTGATGGAGGACTTGGCAGAAAACGAAGGACAAACAGAAATACATCACCGAAGTCTTCTGGATTACTCAGCAGTACATTGGCCAGATCATATACGAAACATATCCTTGGCACAGCAACAAGAATTTGATGATTTGTTAGATCAATTATACAATAGAGGCAGAACAGGATGGATACTTTGGTTCCCAATATTTTGGCGGGCTGCGATAGGCTTTGGACGGATGCCCAAGATGGATGCAATCCATCTGGCAGCTTTCAATGGGCATACCCGAATGGTCCAGAAGTTGCTCTCTGGCAATGAAAATAATACAAACAAAGCAGATAATACAGGATCAAATGCGTTGATATGGGCCTCACTGAATGGACACACAGGGGTTATTGAGCTTCTATTGCAACACGGAGCTGATGCCAACGCCCAGGGTGGCGAGTATGACAATGCACTGTATGCTGCCTCGTCTAAAGGCCATGACATGATTGTACACATGCTACTGCAACACGGAGCTGATGCCAACGCCCGGGGTGGATACTATGGCAGTGCACTGTACGCTGCCTCATTCAAAGGACATGACGAGATTGTACACATGCTATTGCAACACAGAGCTGATGCCAACGCCCAGGGTGGAGAGTACGGCAATGTACTGCAGGCTGCCTCGTCCAAAGGCCATGGCGAGATTGTACACATGCTATTGCAACACGGAGCTGATGCCAACGCCCAGGATGGACAGTGTGGCAATACACTGTACGCTGCCTCATCTGAAGGACATGATGATATTGTACAGATTCTACTGCAACACGGAGCCGATGTCAACGCCCAGGGTGGACAGTATGGCAGTGCATTGCAGGCTGCCTCATCTGAAGGACATGTTGAGATTGTACAAATGCTATTGCAACACGGAGCTGATGTCAAGGCCCAGGATGGACAGTGTGGCAATACACTGTACGCTGCCTCATCTGAAGGATATGATGATATTGTACAGATTCTACTGCAACATGGAGCCGATGTCAACGCCCAAGGTGGACAGTATGGCAATGCATTGCAGGCTGCCTCATATGAAGGACATGACATCATTGTACAAATGCTTCAAGCAGAAAATCTACGTGCTAAAGACGAAAGACCTCTTGATACATAAAGATGTATCTCACAATCCGCTTCAGTTATGCCTGCCCTTGCGTATACTTGGCGCATGGCTTTCCTTTTCTGTTGCCTGACTATTCCGAGCTCTAGATGGCAACAACGTTTGTTGCTCTGATTGTATACAGTGAAATCCGGCCAGATATCCACCTTTGTATCAACCTTGGCACAAGATATGTTATCCACAATTTACTCATTTAAAGCCGACGGATAATAGGCCTGCTCTTGTGATGAGGTTGAGCTTGGGAATATCCACCCACAAGGAGACCACCTTTTTTTCTCACCATCAAGATTGGTTATGTAAACGGCCCATTGCTTGGGACGATAGACACCTTCTGTAAGTTGTCAATGATGTTCTCTCTTTTCGCTTCCAGTTCCTCTGCATTCATTTCGTACAACAAGTTCCATATCAATATTGTTTAGCTGCTCCAATTCTCCCCTGCAGGGCGGAAGGGTATCCAATTCCTCTTCGAGACAATATGCCAGGTCACCGTAAGATTCACGCAGAACTCGCTTGATCTCAGCTAGTTGTGCGACGGTTGGCAGAGCGGATAGAAAGATGAAGGTAATAAGTCCCTAGAAGGATAAAGGTGGAGAAAGTCGGAGAGTTAAAGGTGTTATTGTGGAATATGATGCAGCCCCTTCAGCGCTAACCCTGAGCCATTCCCTGTGTCCTTGCTTCCTAACCTAGCAAACTATGTGCAGACTACCTATTGTGGAAGGTTATATCGGAGCTGAGAGCCGTGCGGAGCGCAGGTCATTACAATACCCTTGCATCTGCACGATCTTTTGCATTTATAAGCTGCTCAAGTAGAAGTGCAATCTCCCCATGCAGTAACTATTTGCATTTGCTTAGTAATGCTGACTAGAGATGGTCTGGTCGGAGGTCGATGAGCATAAAGTACCATAACTTTGGATCTTTTTTTGGCTAGACCAGCTCGAAAGGCAGTCTAACTTCCCAGCAGAGTATCACGCCAACTGATTGAATCGCCAGGTTTTTCTTCGATAACTTCAAAATCCTTCTTTTTTAGGCAATTCTCACAGCTAGTCTCACACTGATTGCACACTAAGCAGTTAGTACCTCCCTCACTGTCATATGGATCTCAACAACTAGTAATCATTTTCATGGAAACTGTCTCATATTCTTTCTGGGGGGCATCAAACATTGTTTCGCTGAGTAATCTCGACATAATACAGGATGGATTGCTGCTGATATTGAATCAGTAAAGAAAAAGATCTATCATGAAGAGATGCCTTACAGTTCTTTATGGTTGTCTGGGTTGTTTAACTCTCCTGATATAGCTAACAATGCATCTAAGCTGCTCTCTTTTTCTTGTTGGTAAGCTTTGGTTTAAATCTCGGATTCTTCATCGCTAGCTCTGTTATTGCTAGCTCCATTATCACTGATGCATCTTTTGGTACTCGTAGCTGACGGAGAGTCCTCCTTATTTCCCTGCTTCTGCTTCCCAGTTCTTGCGTCAAAAGAATGGATGTACTCCCAAAGATTTGCTATAGGTGGCTGATCGTGCTCGGTCTCTGTATATACAAAAACCAAGGGCAGAGTGTCAATATGGTGTATAATATCCCTTGAGTTGATTAGACCGTGCAAGGTGGCAAAATAATGATTGTTCTTGAATTGGCTAATGAAGTTTCTGAGATGCTTATGCAGCTCCGGGTCCTTACGCAAAAATTTGCAATATTGATGATTCTTGAAGAAGTAGAACACTGTTAAATCATTGTTATGGGATGCGTCCCAGGAGTTCAAAATTTCTTTGGCTCCTTGGCTGTGTGAGATATGTGTGAGTTGATTCAGCGGTGTGATGGAGGTTTCATCTTTAAAACCAGGCGCAATTGGTGCTTGCTGCACAGAGTCCTGAGTCAGATTAGGACTATCTAATGCCATATCGTTTCCTGCGTCAGGATTGCGTTGCGCATATTCATTTCTGTCTTGAGTTTCCGGAGGATGAGGATCGCATGGAGCTGGCGACAAGACGACGGGACTTTCGTCGTGATGAGGAGTTTGCGGGTTAGTTCCTACCCTCCGCCATATAGGATGTGATTGAGAAGGTAATATTTCTCAGCCGAAGAAGCTGAATATGATGTCTTGCAGCACGGCAAACAATGTAGGGTACTTTTTCAGAAGCTGTTCCCCACTATAGACCTGTAGAGCAAATAGGAACTGGTGGTCATTGCAGTGTGATTCTCTCTGTGGTAGTCCGCACCACTTATTTGCCATGAGATCCTCACTGTCAATAGAGAAAGGCGTAATAATAATCTTATATCCATCCCTTTTAGGGAGCTTTAGGAGATCAACAACTTTTTCTGGAGCTTCTTCCTCCCAGTAGGGAGGATAGACATATAACTCCTGAGGACGATGGCCGGTCAAGTATGCTTAAGCACTAGGTTTTATAGTTGAGCTCACACAAAGTGAGTGAATCTGAGGCGAATCAAAGCCTAACTGCGTTGCCAAGATGGCAAGTTGATGAGCTGACTCTAATAGGGTCTCCCTGTATGCATATGCATCGTTAGTATGTTTGGAGCCCAGGAGTCTAACATTAGTCAAGCTTTCTATGAAACAAATTAAGAACAGCCATAGCTGCATGTAGGCAGCAGTAGAGATATTTTCTTGAGACTAGAGCATTGAATGAGACTGGTCGTCAGGTACACTCTCAAAGGCGTTCTCTGTAACCTGAATGGTCCATACATTCCTGGTACCATTAAAACTTCACATAAGAGCATCCCGCAAGTCTTTACAACCAGGTTGAACAAGTCTTTTCAAGGACTTAGCATAAGGCTGTAAGATCAGTGTATCCTGGACTAGTGAGTATAGACTGAGTATTCAGCCTTTCCTGTCTAGAAGGCTACTCAGTAATGCGGCTTGGTGGCTCTCATCTGCCACAGAAGGGAAGAGTTCACCTGTATTCATTAACATGGTGATAAAGTTGGCATCTTCTCTCATCTGGGGCATCTGATTTTCTAATAGACACACAGAAGTGGCATCAACATGCGCAGGTTCGTCCAGGAACAAAGGCGACCAAATATCATAGATGATGTCCAGATAATGACTTATTTCCTGCAATGGTGGTTAGCCATCTTGTTACTTTCCCAGTGCTAGGAAGTTCCTACTGTCAGAGAAGCACACTCCACTAAGCACTTCAGAAAGTTGAAGGGGATATCAGCCTAAAGCCCTGGATAAGAGATTAATCATCTTAAGCTGAGTATAATGCATGGGTATCTCTTCTCTAGCCTCCTCAGGTCTTCCATTGCGCGACTAGGCATCTTTAATTCCCAAAATGCAATTTCTCTTTTGTTACAGTGAGATATCCTGCTATGCTGAAGGTTGCGAAAGATATCCCCTGCACTGAAGTTGTTATCCTTAAGCGCACAGAGGCGGTATTTTAGAGGTTCAGAGAGGCCTCCTTTAGTTAGCTTGCACCTGTATGAACCTTAATGCCATACATACTGTTACTATAGAGATATATCATCCACCAATAGTTGCCAGGGTATAGCACATCCTTTGTAGCCTCTATACAGTGCTTTCCATACAAGCACTGAAGCTTGTAACCATGTGGCAACAGTAATAGAGGTGGCTTAACTACTCCTTTTAATTCCACCTTATTAATCCCTGATTAGAGCATGGCTTACTCTAGAACATCATCACTTATGACAGCTAAGATGTAGTTGCTAGGTTCTAGCTATGCACACTGCTTTAATTAAAAGGTTCTTTTTGATAAATTAATATTTTTATTATCAAAAATTCTTCCTCCAAAGAGCAATAGAGGGAATGATAAGTATTCAAAGGTGACTTTAACATAACCATAAAAGAACTATGCTAGTTCTTTCACACTTTCATCTTGGTTACTATTTATAGCTGTTCTTTTGGATAAGTATGTTTTGAAGGGGAGTGTTAGGGTTAAAATAACCATCCCTGTTAGGCGTTAGGCTTGGCCATTGTTCATTACTATTATTTTTCAAGTTAATACCTTCCAGCTCCCTCTTCCTTTGGACTTCCCTTATTGGAGGACTTCACTCTTGGGTGGTTTTCCCTCCATACTGGTCAGCCCTCCTTACTAGACTCCCCTCCGTACTGGTCTGCCCTCCGTGTTGGTCTTCCCTCCTTACTAGACTTCCCTCTGTACTGGTCTGCCCTCTATACTAGTCTTCTCTCCTTATTAGTCTTCCCTGTGCCACTGGTCCGCCCTTTGTACTGGTCTTCCTTCTTTAGAAACTATCCATAGGGAAGTTCGCCCAGTGAGGCTTGGATTTCTCTTGCTTAATTTATAAAGGGGCGGAATAGGATGGGATTGGTAGGCCAGACTTTACTCTCTTCGACTGCTACCCTATAATTTCTTTAAAGACTAGTATTATTGGGCTATGCGATTACAGAAGATGGAAGAATAGAAAGAGATGGGCATAATTATTCAAATTCTCTGTCTCTGCACTGAAATGGTTTCAGGTAACTCAGTTTAGTTCTACTAAGATATTCTTTTAGGTCTGACAGATTCAGCGAGCAAGCAGAACCAGGACTTAAAGAACATGCCAGAGAAACAAGTACCTAATGACTTGTCAGCTGCTTTCTTCCCCCTGCTTCCGCAGCCACCAATGGATGTATGTAAATAGTGGTCATGCTTATAAGCCTGGATTGAGCCAAAGCCTGTGGCAAGTAAAGACATGTATGTTGTGATAGTCCATAGTTCTATTCTAAGCAGTATAGCTTTCAAGAAAGTCAATACATGACAAGTTACTGTTCTGCCTTGGGAGAAACTCCTAAAGGTCTCAGGTGACTGAAAGATTAAGCTGCTCTTAGCCCTTCAACGAAGCTTTACTTTGATTTAGCCACAACCACACTTTACAAGTCAACTCATTCTCTTGAATTTCCAATACAACCGACATTATGCCTATGACCTGGGACCATGAGGCTGATGCCAAGGTGCGCCTCAGTTTAACACGCTTAAATAACATAAGACTGACAAGAACAGCTTCTCCTCAGAATCTTCGCCACCAGCAACATCAAGCTCGACTACGAAGACCTTGCCAAACATATGGGACCCGGTCAGTACCCACACAAATTGTATCATAGCTACAGGCACTATTAAGAAGCAGAGCTTGTTGACACGAATGAACACAGATTGCACTACCATTGCTATCCAGCGCAGAATCCAACGTCTGAGAACGGATCCTAGGGCTGGCAGCGCTACCAACGGCGACTCCTCTACTCCTGCTACTCCGGAGAAACGCAAACGCGGCCGCCCAAAGAAGGACGCCAACGGTGATGGCGCAGAGAAGGACAATGCCAGTCCTAAGAAAGCTAAGAAGGCTAAGAAAGAGGAGAACGGATCTGCTGTCGACAGCGCTTGAGCTTGGCTGATTTGCTTCTATGTATCAGTTCTCTGGTGATCAGGGTTCCTTTCTTGCTTGTGATTGTGGCGTTGTGTTCTGGTATTGTAGCTGGGGCTTATGGTTATGGGGGCGGACACGGTCTTTACGCGGTGCCTGTGGTGCTGGTCTCTTAGGACAGCCGTTCGGGAATACGGCTTGGGTTTAATTGAAATGTTAAGTTCAGATGCTGCGTCTTTGCTGTCGGTTCTGGACGTAGGCAATAATTGTAAAGGCGTATCTGCCTGTCTGTAAACGCAGCTGGATTGTCCCCTCGTAGCTGGGTTCTATGGCAGGGTCCTTTGCATTCACTGATGCAGTGCTTTAAGGACAACTCGCTTGTGGCCTTATGCGATAATAATCATGGACTGGATTGCGTGCTTGTCACCACCTTAGATACAGGAAGAATAAGTAGACCTTGCTGCCCTCGCAATTTCCAAACCAGCGACCAACTCCCAGGCAACGAAAACCATGAACCATGTCGCCCAACAGCATCAAATCAAGCAAAGTTCGCCATATCCATGTCTTCCATTTTCACACCCGCCTCATCGGGCAGGAACTCAGAAGCAGAGCTCTCGGGATCATCTTCTCCCTGCTCGTCACCCTCGTAGTTAACCATACCAGCAGGAAGAACGCTCGCCTTGCGGGAACGCTTAGTAGGAGTGCCCAGAATACCAAAGACGGCTTCATCAGATCCCTCGGTCTTCACGAAGCCACTTTGGACCTGGGCCTGGTTTCCTGAAAGAGTGGGCTGGAGCGGCTTCTTCTTAGTAGGCGTGTCAATCTCGTCCTCAGCAGTTTCCATCTTGACTGGGCTGATTGCATTCTCCTCGTTTTTAAGAGGGGTGGTGTTCTCGTTAGCATCAGCAATGGTACCGGCTTTTCCACCGCGCTTCCGCTTGGAACCGGGGGTCTTGACGGGAGTAGCGGTCTTTTTGGCCTTCTTAGGTGTGGAGGTCTCGCTGCCGCCAATGGTGAAACCACCGCTGCCAGAAGCCTTTACGATTTGGCGCATTTTGACGAGGCGTTCTCTGATGGCACGGGGTGTAGGCTTCTCATTATCATCAGTGCCAGCTGCTTAGTGTTAGTGATTGTCGTATAGAATGTTTAGAATACAGGACTTGAATAGGGAGCTTACGCCAAGCTGCAGCAACCTTGTTTGTATCAACGGAGAGGTCATGGGTTTCAAGGATCTTCAGCAAGAGCTGTGTTTGAGTCCTGGTGTCAGTCTTGGTTTTCACAGTGAGGAGGGCGTACTCACTAGCTGATCATTTTCGGGAGTCCAGCGCATAGGCATCGTGGAGTTATGAGTGATATGTAGGGTGTTGAAGTATGGTGATTAACAGAGTGGAAGAAGAGCACAAGTAGATAGCTGGAGAGTATGATCAAGAAGCAGAGGAGATGTGAAGAGTAGAAGTGAGTAGGGAGAAAGCTGAGAAGAGTAGAGAAAGTAGATGTCAAGGAAGGTCGAGGTAAGAAGAGTAAAGAAGATGAAGAGGTGATGGAATGTATTGCCGAGGAGTACCAAGAGGAGAAGAAGAGGAAGAAGCAGGTCTCAACCTTTTCACTTCTCTGTTAGTGTGACTCTATAGCTCTGGCAGTGAATATCCACGGATCCAAGTACAAGATCATCCACATCTCACTGGTGTTGTTGTAATTCCCTCATCTAAATTCCTGGGAGGGTGACAGACTGCGGGAGCATCTCACACCCCTCCCACCTATTTTGTATGCCAGAGTTGTCATCTTCGACAACCTGCTGTATCCCAACAAGATCACTTATACAAAAGGTTTAACATCATCCATCTGTCACTTTAGTTTCTTACAGCAGATAAGCGGTGTAGGGATACAATCCAGCCCAAGTCCTCAAATCTACAAGTCATCGTCAGAATCCTTCCAACTTTGCATCATCGCTGTCCAGGATGTTCCTGCATCTTTGTCTGTTAGATGGATCTATCAACTATCCAAGCATTTAGTATGGATAATGGCATTAGATTATCTGCATCGGATGTTTGGTGCTTTCTTCCTGCTCGTATGTTTGGTCAATTGTTGGGATCGCCATTGGTTTAAGTTCAAGGATGTGTTACCAACGCGCAATCACAAAGTCTCGAGAACTACAACATCCAAGGCAGATTGTAGCGGTTTTGTCCTTTTTCTTGTGGGTTTCAAGATTGCATGTATAAGCTCTGTCCTTACTACCTGTTTGGTGCTCTGATCATTCATATCTACTTGTACCTGTACTCGACCTTGACATTCACAGACTATCTCCAGTCTGCATCTTTGGTACAACTTGGAAGTTTTGACAGAGATTCCCAGTGTTCTGTGTTGTAATTATGCCCTTTTCTCTAACCTACCAGTCAGTACACATATAAATCAGAGTCAAGTCTGTGGCTGACTACTTGAGCTCTAGGTCTCTTTTGTGATTCCTACCACCACACACTGCTATCTCCAGAAACACACTTCTCTCAAAATCCCTATAAATGTCCCTGGGCTACATGGATGCCATCTACTTCACCTAAATCCAGCAATTTGCACCACTATTCCTTCCAACCAACTCTTAAGTACAAGTACCACTACCAATCCCCGAATCTCCTCCAAAAATCCACACAAAATGGTCAACTGGAAAGCCAACGAGTCCACCGACCGTCTGATCGCGGTGCTCATCGCAGCTCACCCAGGCCTTAAGGTTCCTCCCTCCTCGCCCCCAACACAAAACACCAGGCTCACTTCCCCTAGCTCGAATACCAAGCAATGGCCACCCTCTTCGGCCAGGGAGCCACCTACGACGCCATCGAAGGCCGCTTCCGCCGCTACCGCAAAATGGCCGACGAAGTCAAAGCCGACGCGCTGAGCAGGGGCATCACCGAGTTACCGCGCGGGCGGAACGGCACCACAGGCAGCGCCAGCAGCAGCGTCACGCCCCGGACCCCGCGCGGACCACGCGGCGGGATCACCAAACCTTCGTCTTCTACCGGGAAAAGTAGGAAGAGCACTGTTAGCCAGGTGCTCTCGACGCCGACTAAACGGGGCCAGGGAAGAGGTGGTAGCAACAACAACGGCAGCGGCATGTCGTTCATGGAGGCGATTTTCCTCGACGATGGGCTCTCCGAGGAGGACAAGAAGGTGAAGAGCGAGGCTGCTGAGATACTGACTGGGCTTGTGGGTAATTCAGCCGTCTTGCATGATCTGACGGGTGCGAGTACGCCCACTGCGTCGTCTGCTTCAATTGCCTCGATGAAGATGGAGGATGCTGCGGAGAGTTTTTCGTCGGCGTTTGGCGATGCTGTCAAACAGGAAGGTCGGGGGATCGGTCATGTTGCTGGCGGGGATATCGATGTGCCTGCTATTGAACATGATGAGTTCGATATGGCGGGTTTGTACTTTCACGGTCATGGGGGGTACGACATGGATGATATCTACGGTGGGGCTGCGTGAGTACTGACTGGATAGCGGCTGGAGCGGCCCATCAGTGTCCAAAGTCAAGTAGCAGGGGAAAAGAAAAGGGGAAATACGAGCTGGATTGACAGATGGGGCTAGAATTGTACTACGCGTGATGAGGGTACATTAGGTGGGCGGAAGCAGGGAAAGATGTGACATGTCACAACAAGAGGAGACATACATAAGTAGTTATGGCGGTGCATCGTACTTTTGCCGTTCTGTGCATGCATTAGTCTAAAGAAAAGTCCGGTCCTCAGTACGATGTTTCAAGTCTGTTCTTGGTAGTACTTGTCTTTCATTAAGAAGATTGGCCCTAGCCCTAAGCCCTATTCCCAATGAAGATCATGCCGTAAGGAGAGTACTATAATGGAGACAAGTGTAGACAATCTCGGAGCAGCCCGTGTAAGATCCGGATAACTAGAACGGCGGATTGCAGTATTAGGACAGGAGTGGCTTGTTCGTGCTGGATAGCAGGCTCTTCCTGTAATTATGCATATATAGCGTGGCAAGTAGAAACGAAGGCAAAAGGTGAGACGAATCTGCATCCAAGCCAAAGAATTCTCGGGCTACATCTTAGCCCCCTTTGGTGGACGTAGCTCTGAGATATACAGAACATGATTGCTGAGAGCCAGAATATCGCCGTTCTCCGCCAGGATCTGAAGGTTTACATCGTAGCGGCCATTGGACACCATGTGCGAATTCGACCGGATCATCACCCACTGCATGGACGGGTCGGGCCGTCGCTTGAACTCCACGGAAATGCAGAGCGTGGACAGTGCGTAGCGGTTGTAGAAGCCTGGTTGGTGGGTTGCGGCAGGCTGAAGCGGCTGTTCGAGTCAATTGGTCAGCTTTCAGAACGGTTGGTAGATTCCGTGTGGGCTCACCATATCCGACAGCAAGGCTAGATGCAGAGAGTCGGAGATCTTCGACCCGTCCCGGAAGGACATCCAGACCTCGCGGTGATGTCCTCCCAGTCGATGACCCCAGAGCCCGTTTGCCGACCTCGGCGCTACCCAGTGCAGTTTCCGTGTGACGGGAGTCGAATCAACTACTGGGTCATCGATTGTGACGCACTCGGTCTCACGCGGAGGAGCAGGAATCCTCAAAGCAGGGTCGCTTGCCTGCGACAGACCTCTTTCCTTGGAGAGGTCACCGTATGTGAAGATTCCGACAGTAGCCGGAAGTTCCGGCTTCTTCCACAGCGCAGCAGGAGAGCGTACCAGTTCCACGTTGACCACACACTGCCGTGTGGAAACACGCAAGAGACTGCAGGTGATCGAGACCGGACCAGGAGGAACCATGCTGAGGAACTGCACGAATGCATGCACTGGGTCGGGAAACCGTCCATCGCCGAGCTCCGTAACGATAAACTTCTTCGCGGCGGACAGCATCAACGCGTGCAGGAAACCTCCTAGTACGGAGCTGGTCTAGTCAGCTTCTGAGCTGCTGAGATCGTTCATCACGGCACAAGTCCGCTAAACGTACTGCTGAGTAGTCCATTCCTGGGAGATACTGGCCAGGAACCGGTGGGGGTTTTCTTCATCCTGACAGACGGCAGAGACCGCTTCCAGTAACGGGGAGGAAGAAGGCCTTGATTCCATAAGTACAAGCAAGACAACAACCGCCGAGAAGCGGGGGAGATCCAATGACTAGGGGTGTCTCCAGGTATGTATGGCCTGAGCACTCTGAGACTCAGAGTGATCGAGTGTTGGTTATGTCAGTTATCAACCCCTCCAAATTCCAGCTTTTGAAGACTGGAACTGCAAAAGCAAGTTTGAGCGTCCTCCTTTTCTCAGTCTACCAATATTAGTACTCCGAGGAACTGTTGCGCTGGAAATAACCGACCTAGGTGTATAGACAGGGGTCTATTGGACACCAATTCATCGAGATGATGGATTGGCTAATCAAAGAGACTCTGCTAGCGCCATGAACACCAAGTTTAATGCCTAGGCAAAATAGCATTGAACCCCTCGATGTCCTTAAGGTAGCAGTTGAGTCCTGCGGACGAACCAGATCTGCGCTCGGAAAGGGGAGTGCATGGAGAGGATCGCAGCCGAGGTAGTATTTTAGCCGTACTCCGTGACAGCTCCGTATCGATTGACGATCGCTGGGCCTAGACAGGGTCCTAGGAATGTATTCAGGGGCATGAAAGTTCGCGAAAGGGATAAGATACAAATCCTCAGCGATTAAGTTGAGGAATTGTACGTATCTATGCCAAAGACATTCCGATCCGGAGTGGATAGAGATCTGATAACCGTGAATGATGACGATGACGATATCAATGAGATAATGATGGGTCTTGCTGCTGTTACTGTTAGTCAACGGATCCAAAATTCGGTGACTGATTCTTGGTATGAATCAATCAATCAATCACCTCAAGGCGCATGGCTGTCGTACGATCGGATGCCCAATTCCAAGACCGAGAGTTCTCACCATGGATCATAAGATCATCCCGCAGCTTTGCTTTTATGCAGGGAGTTGCCTTGTCTTGAACCTTGCTCATCTTTCGAGTTTTGCCCAACAATTAAATTGATAGAACCTCGAGGACATTCATTGCATTTATTCTCATCTAATTGTGTCGTCGTGTCTCACTCAACGAGCATCACGTGTTTCTGGTACGCGAAGACGCGGTGCCACGCGGAAATCCCGACGACAAGTATTTTTAATAATATGGGTATCGATAACTATTATTATTAGATGCTTAGTCGGAAAATTTGCAGGAGGCAAATACTACTAGTCCAGGTAGTGGTCCGTACTCTAAACGAGATACATGAGGTTACGGAGTATTATTCTACGGAGTACTCGCGAGAATTTTCCCAGTTTGCGGTGCCCCCGATCACTCGGCTCTTCCGCCCGGACTCCGTATATCCTCGCCTCTCGCCTTTATTATCCTCCTTTTCATTCCTCCTTTTCTCTTTTCTTGCTTTTCTTTCCTTTTTTTTCTCTTGTACTTTGATCGGGCGGCTGGGCTGGAGTCAACAGGAAGAAGTGTGGGTGAGGAAGAATAAATCACAGACAAAATGATGCTCAGCCCTGCCCTCCAGCATCGGTCGGGCCTCACACCGCAATCCCCGTTCCACCACCATCAGCACAATCACCACCACCACCACAACCCCTCAGCCTCGACCTCCAAACCGCCCTCCATGGTCGTTCCCTCGACACAAATACAGGAACCTGCTCAATTACCAACCCCCAATCAGTCGGGGCCGACCACAATGCCGACTGACGAAGATGGCAACGACGGCTCGCCACAGGACTTTTCCGGTCGGGGGAAGCGCCTGACACTCGCGGAGCAAAAGTCTCTCTTCCGCCTCTGCGAGCAGTACATGAACCGCTACGACGCACACGAGTACCCCAAGAGCTTTTGGATGAAAATTTCCGAGTTACTCCTCAAATCCACCGGTCGGAAGTACTCCTGGCAGTCCTGCCGGCGACGGATGCAGCAGTACGTCGAGAAACGAAAGACCTATTGGGCAGCATTCGACGCCGACAAAACTCTCCCCGATCTGGGCGACATGGACGAAGACCTGGCCTCCGACATCGACGACTGGATGGGACGGTGCGAGCTACGGCTCCAGAACGAGGAGAAAGAGCGCAGGGACAAGGCGCAGAAGACCGAGCTCGAGCAGGCGGAACTCGCGCGCACCCTCAAGCTGCAGCGGACGTTCGAGTGGGCGAAGAATCTGCCTCCCCCGGAGGAAATGGAGCGCCAGCCGACCCACTGGGGAATGCCTCCGCACCGATTCGTCATCATGGACGGCCGATTGCTTCAGGGTCTGGATCTCGCGTTCCATCTATCCAAGGTCCGGCCAGATGAGAGCCGGCAGTTGGCGCTCGACGCTGTCCTGCTCCACGGCGAGTTCGGCTACCCATCAGCAGCAGCACACGACCAGAAACCGAAACCGGATCCCTCGGGCCCTTGCCTTGGAATATTTAACCCCGGCAACAGGAAGCGGCCGCTTGATGCCGTCGACGGCACTGCCTCGGAGCGACCCGCGCGGCGGCCCCGTACGGATCTCGATTCGCACCCCCAGTTCCAGCCCCAGCCCCAGACCCAGGCTCAGCCTACTGCCGGCGATAAACCCTCCGAGAAGAGAGAATCTCCCGCTGCGATGCTGGCACGGAAGAACGTGGACCGCATCGTCAACCACCTCTGGCTGCAGTTTGCCAAGGGCATCGCGCCGTACTACGAGGAGCATCGGGACCAGCCACAGACGAACAAGCAGTTCGGACTGGTTCTGTACGATCTCTACCGGGATCTGGGCCGGGCTTTCACGAAGGCTGTCAACCGACTCGTGGATTTGGATTGGGATTCCGAGTACGGATCCGCATCGGAGTATTGATTTTTTCCTTCTTTCTTCTCAGGCTGCATTTGGTTTTGTGGATATGTTTATGTTATGTTGATGGGTTCTGACTTTTTTCTTTCCTCTCTGCATTTTTTTGTTTGTTGTTCTCTCTCAGTGGTTCATCTATTTGCATCTTCCCATGCGCACCAGACTGGCTAGAGATACCCATTGCATGACTGTCCTGTTCAGCGTCTCTTACGATGATTCATATCTATTCTGTTTCACAGCGTTTCATTCTTGCATTACATCATACCTATAGATAGGCGGAGTTTGTGCAATCGATGACTAGGTATCTTTCTACCATTTCTTTCTAGGCTTCAGGATGAGCGTCGGAGTAACACCCTTCGTTTCAGTCTCTCTATTATACTAAGTGGCGTATTTGTTTGCATCCTAGAACTACACGGGGCGCAGGCGCTGCAAGTTTGCCATTACATATGCACCACCACAATCGGATATGAAGACCTTCGACACCGCCATGCGCAGGCAGGCGAAAGGCGAGTATATGGACCACAGTAGAGTCTAGACATCCGCCTCCGCGGCCTTTGTCTTTTCGACATTCTCCACCGTCTCGGCCTTGATGCCAACATCCTTGACGTGCAGACCCTTTTCGCGAGCCTCTTCGATCGGGTGGTCCAGCATCGAGTGGTCGGGCTTGGTATGCCATGGCTTTGGTCCGTTCTTGCTAAACATCTCCTCCACTTCTTCGAGGGTCTTGCCACAGGTCTCCGGGTAGCTTCAGGATATGGTTAGTGATGGTCCCGTGCTGGAATGGGCACTGGATCGATTTCAATGAGGAAAAAGACTTACGTAAAGAACACCTGGCTCGCGGCTCGATGCAGAGGACGCCGAATACGATGAACAGTCTTCATGTGATGTTGGCGAAGCCAGGGGGCACGAGAAGGCCGAGGGCGAAGTTGAACAGCCAGTTGCCGGCAGCAGCGATAGACTACGCAATTCAGCATATCAGTGGAGTCTCGAAATGAGTCGACGAGGAAGAAGCTCACCATTCCCGATGCACGAGTCACTAAGGACCAGACTTCCGCTGCGTAGACCCAGGCAACGGGCGCCAGGGTCAGGGCATGAAAGATGATCAGGAGGTAGGAGAATGCAATCACGGTGTGGGCCTTGGATCCTGTCACCTGGATTAGAACATTCAGGTTGCCGCCTACGCCTTCTGGGACGTATGTTCTCGAAGACAGGACTCCGCCGACGACGAAGTGGCAGGCAGCCATTCTCAGTGCTCCCCAGATGAGCAGGCTACGCCGGCCGGTCTTGTCGATGTAGAAGAAGACGACAGAGGTGAAGAGAGGTGACCAACACACACACCGTTTAAAACACGCCAGCCATCAGCGTTTCAAAGCCGGACACACCAGCCTGGATAGCAGTACCAACTAACCACCACAGACAGGCAAACATGATAGAATCCCTGCGGCCGATCCAGTCTGACATGGGACCAGCTATGATGGAGCCGAAAACCGACCCTGCGGCGAGAGCAGAGTTGATAGCACCTTGGCGAACTCCATGGGGATTATCAAAGAAATCGACATACTGTATATCTTGGGGGGCGTTGGTACCTTCATGGTGGATGTGAGGAGGGCGGCGGTGTTAATCCGAGACACCACGCCCCAGCTAGACAAGGCCGGCGTCACACTCCTAGCCTAGAGCCGTTCGAGCCACAATTGGTTCACATCCCAGACCAGGTCGTTCTCTCGTTGGAAAAGGCTGTCCAGACACACACGAGAGGTAAGAACGCTGCACAACTCGCCCACCGGACTTGACCATCTTTGGGGATATGCTTGGCGACACCTCTTGGCTCGAAACGTCTTGGACTGGTCTTGTCACCCATGCTGATAGGTGTATGATGAAGATATCGGCCGCAACCGTGGCCATCCCTGAAGCATTAGAGTAGTGACTGTAGTGCCAAGCCGCGGAGGTAGCAGACAAATAAGGTATGGGGTGGCTTGGGGCACCCAGCCTATCGTATCCCACACTGTTCGACAAGAGCATTCCACTGAACGGCGCATTCCTTTGTGGAGAGCCGAAACGTACACCTTTTTGGGGCAAATCCGAGGTTAATGGCATTTGACTTCAGGATTAGCGCTGCTCTGCTGTTGGCGGATTTCCTCAGTCATCTTCCTTGGCCAAGGAGCTCTAGAAACCATCCATCAAAGGTGTTGCTGGCGTAATATGATCTCGATTGTCGAGAGATATTGCTGGCTTTTAGCGGGTGGAGGTGAAACCTGGGCAGGCTGAGCATTCCTAAAGAGTACAAAAGAACGGTTAGTCTGTTCCCTTAGGTCACGGGTCGACAAGGTGGTCAAGCTTACGCTCTTAAACCCTCTTCCTCTGAGGGAAACAATTATCCCGCTGCGAAGGAGTACGAGATTGCTGGATGGGCCGGTGTTGTACGGGATCCTGGCCACCCAAGCGGTCCATGCTAGCCCAGCCACTTTATTCTGCTGTGTTTGTCGTGATGAAAGACATGTGATTTTTTATCCCAAGGTAGACAGTGATGAAGAGTTTTGACAAAATGCCATCTACATGCTCAGAAAGGACCTAGATACCATAGAAGATCTTCTCTAGGGATCTCTGAGTTGGGGGTTTCTGCTGCGGACATGAGGATAAGGTGAGAAGGTAGTAGATGTATATATTACCACAACTTTCATACTAACCCCTGGCAGCGATGATCATTACCTTGTATCTCTGCAACCACTAGATCTTGAACATTTAAACAGTATCAACATCGAATCCTCACCTAGTATTGGTATGGATATCCCTACTAGATCGCATTCAGTATCAATGCGAGACGAGAATTCGATGTTGATACTAGATGACAATTTGATACCCCTGCTAATCAAAAATTCAACGCAGTCACTAATCAGATTTATATAAAACCAGGGTATTCACAGCTCCTTTAACTCCACCCACTTCTCATCCAGCACATGCATACAGATCATATACAAATAGGTCACAGGTATTCTCAATGGCATAGTCTGATCCATTGGTCTACAATTTCCTCCATATCGTGTGCGATTCCCCATTGAGAGATGAGGCAGCGGAACAGCTTTTGCATGGAGTTCATCTCATACAACAAATTCCGAACCGCACCCATACCTGCTGGTGAGTCCGTCAGACCTTGTTCAACGAAGCGCCGAGTCTCGGATGTACTCGACGGCCTGACACTGTCGCTTCCGAGGTTAAGATCAGAAAGCGAGAGAAGAGCATCCTGCCATACAATTGTGCGTGGAAGGTGAATGTTTGCCACGCCTGCTAGCGAAAAGACCACATAGATCGTTGCCGCTGCAAAGAGAGAGCTCGGCATGTGGATTACATGGGCCCGGCCCCTGGGTAGTTGCTCAATAATATCCTGGATGGCAACCGCGTGCAACAAGGCACGGCGAGCGTCTTCTGTGTTCACCCACTTCACCATGTCGAATCCGGGTCTCAGTGTCCGAGATCCTCCAGACACTTGTTGGGAGATGTTGTAGCGTGAGCAAACGTGCCTACAAAGCACAGTTGAATTGATCATGGTGTCGAGACAGATGGTATGCCAGCGTAACAGAACCTCGAGTCGTTCCGGCGCGGACAGGTGGATGCTCATGTTGATAGTTTCGTGGACCTGGGCCAAAGCCCTTCGCACGTCAGGACGACCAGGCGCACCAACGGTTGCGACGTCGCTTTCATCCGAATCTGAGACAAGAGACTGCAGGCCTTCTAAGACTACACGAAGCGCAAAGGCGGAAAATTGATAGTCGAGGGGGCGAAAACTGCCAATTGGAGGAAATAGAAAGCGAAACACCAGTCGGAATGACGGCTGTTCGGTCTTTTGACAACGCATGTGGGCCAACCATTCGTCGGGGTTACTGGCGTCAAATGCAGCCTCACTGCTAGGGAGGACAAGCGGATTGGCGACATGTCGTGTAGAGGCCCCGTCGCCCGACATCTGCGCCACAAGGCCATCTAAGATGTGATATGCGAGCAAAGCACGCTGCTGTATTTCTCTTGCAGCCCATACTCGCCATTGGTAGTCCTTTTCGGCATGAGAAGCACTGGGCAAGGGGAGGTGTTCCACAGAGAAGGGTTCGCTGTCTAACATGCCACAGTGCCTTGCCCAGAAAAAGCCAAGCGGACGGAAGACCTGGCTTGTTGTACGTATCACTCGATTCTAGAAACGATGCCAACATGTTAGGGGTTGGTAACCGAAATCACCTGGCGGAAGAATAACCCACTTTTGACAATGCACCATAGATCTGCCCCAGAAGAGCTGTGACGAGCAGCTGGACACCTTTGCAAGCATCGTAGGGTCCGCGGTGTGTGATTAATGACTGCCACTGGGAAGGGTCAGTATTCGGGCTGTGGATATGGCAAAGTATTGCACACTTACCGAAGTAGCAACTGCAGTGTGAGCCAGTCGCCATAAGGCCTCACCCTGTAAATAAAGGCTCAGCGCCGTCTAAGAGATAAGAACGGGGCGCCATGCTACCTTTGCGACTGAATCCTTCGGCCCGAGATACAAAGAGCCAAGCGCCATGGCGTTCAGCAGAAGAGGGTGAGTGCACTCGCGAAACACAAAGGTCGCCCGGTGCAAGATCGGAAAGGTGGGAATGAACCTCACAAAGAACATATGCAGACATTCATCGAGAAAGACCGATGTGATTGAGGTTGCCTTGATGGCCGCTGTCACACTCGAGGACTGCAGAAGAATCAGTTCTTCTGCGAGTAGGAGAAAGCACTGTCAGGATACCTACTGAGCTGGTCACCATTTCCGTCACATCCCTCACAGCTTGGTGACTACCACCTGAGGGAATCGCGCCTATTGAGGAACTCCGATCATCGAAGGAGTTGGGAGAACCGAAATTGATGGTGTTGACGTCCTGCACTACAGGAGGAAATGGAAGTGTTCCCAGAGGCATCTGCCAATGCTCCGTCGTATCTGACGACATGATGCTGTGGAACAGATTCTCCGAGTCAGGCCATATCAAGGAGAAGTCGAGATCTGAGGCAGCCTGCTGGAATCCGGGCTGCTGCGCGGACGGAGGGGTGTTCCATGTGTGACTAGGAGCAGAGTTTGGCGCCGCGTCGTCTGTTACAGCTCTTGTGGAATCCCAAGTATGGGCGTCTGGGGCAGTAGTCTGGGGAGGAAGATGTATGTCCCCTTGGGTCACTTTGATTGTGGGAGTTGAGCTTGTTGCCCGAGTATGAAGCTTTTCATGACGAGTGAGAGCATCTTGGCGGGCGAATGGTCGACGACATTCTTTGCACACGAACGGCTTGGATCCGGTATCTTTTACATCATACAGTCAGCTGTCAAGGCCTTCGAGTACGCAGAGAACAATGTCAATCATGTAATCGAGTAACGTGTGACCGGGCAAAGCGGAGATGTTATCTTACGGCAACGTTCATGCCTCTATTTACTGATGCAATTAGCGGAGTCCCCACAAGGAGGTGAGAATGGAGCGTAACTACCCTCAGATGCTCGGCCTTGGAGAAGGCCTTATGACAGACTCGACACACTAAGCTCTTCATGCCTGCTGCTGTGGTGGGCATGACTAAGGATGTGGGTGATAATTATGATGACCTTTAGTTAAAGGCGCTGGTGATAAAGTCACATTATCGTGATCACCCAACACCGCTGTCTGGATGAATGGATGAAGATGGGGAATCGGGGGGGAAAGCGACCTTGGACATTCGTGGGGGTGTACATTATAGCTGTGGGGATACGTGGCAATAGTGTGTCCTAAGGTGTGTGTATAAGGGCAAATTTGGGGTCACGCTCCCTGACGCCTCAGGCAGGAATTTGGGTCCTACTAGATAAGCAGAAGCCCAACGGCAACAATACACTCTCGAAGCGAATGCTGCAACAGCTGTCCATGGCTCTGGCCGCGATGACCTGCACGGCGATCACATCTACTAAAATCAATCATTCCATTTATCGTCATCTCACATTATCGCAGTTGTCCACTTCACTCATTTTGTGTCTCTTGTGGTATACGAAAGTCCGCTGGCATCATCCCACTTGGTGAACAGTCTTGAATTGATGACTTAATCATCGGCTCAGAATTCGGCAAGCGACCTTCAACTTCGGGGAGGTCAGGTACAGAGAAGCAGAGCCCAGGGAAAACTCCATCGCGCCGAGAAAGCCCTGGAGAGCCAAGATTCGCCTCACAAGCTTAAAGGGTATCGGCAATTATGCTAGTCAGCTGCCGTTTCTGGGGCCTCAGCAGCAGGCTAGCTAATCGTTCATTTGTAAGCCTCATTCTCATGCAGAGTATCCTGACGGTCATGATACAAGCTTGACTTGATTGACTGATCGAGAGCATTGATTAGTATCTGGGGATGTACGAACGGTGCGACGTGGAATTAGGTCCATCTTCGAACCCGTCGGCTGAGTGACACCACAATACAACTGCTATGGGTCCTCCTAGCCGGGGTCAAACGTCTGAGCACGGTTCGTCCAATCAAATGGACTCGCCCTATCCAGCAAATTGCCGTCTCGACACCGGGACTGTCAATTATCGGCTTTCTTACTCGACCGTCTCGATAATGTGCCGTGGGGAGTCCTCCGCAATCCGCGTCTTCTACTCCATGAAGAGTGCCCCAACTGAGCCGGTCTCTGGGAAAAATGGAATTACCCCGGAGAGCAAGTCAGAATGCCAGATGATAGGTCGTTTTCGCCGTTAGCACGACTCGTGGAGATTTCCACATTCTTTCGGCTAGAAATCATCATCTATATGGCATTAGCATGATTTGATATTATTCATCCCTGTGATTCCTCATCCTTTCTCCTCTCCTAGTACCCTCCCTTCTCCCTGTGTCTCAACTGTCAACAAGGCAAAGTCACCGGCAAGACTATTCAACAACTAAAACAAATCTGTTGGTCTCGGTCTCAGAGTCTTTGCGGAGAAGCAAAGGCTCCGTTCGAGGAATGAATGCGTCTATGGAACTCCGGCCGCACCGAGCGGAAGATGATGTTTTGGAGACGCCTGTGCCTGCAAAGGCCGATATCAATCTCGTGGAGAGCACAGAGACTGGCATCCCTTCCAAATATGCCGATATAGTGGCCTCTCGTCTCTCCAGGTCCCATCAGGACTTCCTGATGGAGCATCACGGCACGCTGGATCTCGACCCCATTCCAAGCATGGATCTTGCAGACCCTTATAATTGGCCCGCATGGAAGGTTTGTAAGCTCAACAGTATCATGATAAATGGAGGATGTACCCCCTTGTGGCCTATACTAACCATCGACTATTACACTGCTAGAAAATGGCGAATCTGATCCTGGTCGCTTTTCACGCATGCATGGGGACGTTTGCTGCGAGCGGAATCATCCCAGGCTACAGCATGTACGCTCCCTGATAATACTCTTTAATGCCGCCCAATGAAGGCCCAGTTGCTGATGAGGAATTTCAACAGCATTGCGGAGGATTTTGGCGTCTCTATCAACAAAGCGAGTTACCTTACCTCCCTTCAGATCGCGATTTTGGGCGGAGCACCATTGTTCTGGAAACCCTTGTCTCAACGCTACGGACGTCGCCCCATCTTCTTGCTATCATTGATTTGCAGCTGTATCTGTAACATAGGATGTGCCAAAAGCTCCGATTATGCATCAGTCGCTGCCTGTCGAGCCTTGCAAGCTTTTTTCATTTCCCCGGCTTCCGGTAAGACTTGTGTAGACGCAGATGAGGAAGGTCTCGGCTGACTACTGTGAAAGCTATCGGAAGTGCTATTGTGATGGAAACAACTTTCAAGAAGGATCGCGCCAAATACATGGGAATCTGGACTCTAATGGTCACAGTTGGCATTCCTTGCGGTCCATTCATCTTCGGCTTCGTGGCACACCGTGCTGGTTACGTGTGGATTTACTGGGTGCTGGCAATGGTTAGTTGGACGTGTCGACCACACAGCTCACAAGCGGCTATTGACCTTCATCACAGATCAATGGCGGTCAGTTCATTCTGTACCTCTTCTTCGGCCCAGAAACCCTCTACATCGGCGGCGACGAAAACCCGAAAGAGCCCGCCTGGAAACGAGAGTACCTTTCTTTGCGACGGATCGATCCAACTCCCTTTATGTGGTATGAGTTCGTCAAGCCTTTGACGATGGTCATGCAACCATGCATTGCCATACCCGCAGCGGCCTATGCCATGGTCTTTTGTCTAAGTAATGTCTTGGCCACAGTTGAGGTACCAACGCTTTTGGAACGCAGGTGGGGGCTCAACCCAGAACAGTTGGGACTACAGTTCCTTGGTCCCATCATTGGATCAGTACTGGGAGAGCAACTTGGTGGCAGGATGTCCGATCTGTGGATGAGACAGCGAGAGCGCAAGACTCGTAAGAGGCCTGAGCCGGAATACCGCCTGTGGCTCAGCTATATTGGGTACGTCCTATCCATTGTCGGTCTCATTGTCTTCCTTGTATGTACCCAATTGTCCGGGAACCGCTGGGAGGTTGCTCCTATCATCGGCATCGCCATTGGGGCCGCTGGCAACCAGGTAGTGACCACGGTGCTCATTACGTTCGCTGTCGACTGTTATCCCGAAGAAGCCGGAAGTGTGGGCGTTTTCATCACGTTCGTTCGGCAGATTTGGGGATTTCTCGGGCCGTTCTGGTAAGTGGCGTCTTCAATGAGTTGGTTATGCAAGGGCTGATGTCGATACAGGTTTCCGGCTATGTTCGAGAATGTTGGAGTCGCTGCCAGTGCTGGAGTCGGCTGTGCACTGATTGTAGGAGCCAGTGTCATCCCAACGATCATCGTTCACTGGCAAGGCAAGAAATGGCGTCCCAGCCAGTGAGGAAGGACTTTCATGAACTTTCTCGTCCCAAAAATGCTTCACTTCGAGAGGAGATTAGTAGGTTTTGATAGAGCGGAACAGATGACAGGACGGGTATCTGTTAGGGTCGAACATGGCGAATAGAAAGAATAATTGGAGAAGTAATGGGAGACAACAACCATTAAAGAAATTCACCGAAAAGGCGCGAAAGACCATGTATCCCCTCACAACAATTTATATACTCCGAAAGGGTTTCAGCTTAGCTGACCTCCTATCCCGAGCGACAGGCTGATATCAGACCATCGGGGAAGTCAAGTCAGACCATGTCTAGTCCTCTCTTCACGGCTGCCCGACGCCGGTTCGGCAGGTCGGGATTGTCACACTTCTTCAAACTCAACTTTATCTACAGGAAGACAACAGTATGTTAAAGCAACAATTTTTCCTCGATGTTCGAAAGCTGGCGCAGATTTCTCTGCCATAATCGCGAAGCTTAACCACCTCTTCCACCGAACTATGAAATATTATTGTTGATACCTCAGGGCTCAGGCACACAGCGCTGCAACATGCCAACCGTACGGAGTAAACAGAGTTACAATGTTCCCCCCGGGGTTATCCACAAGGCGGACAAGCTCAACTCCGCGCGGGATAAACATATATCCACGTGGGTGCCTGAGATCAGCGGACAAAAATGCCGATGCGGATTTCCACTTGAATGGTGACTCATAGCAGTCTCAGATAGCTAGACGCGGTGTGCGCATATGAAATAATCTGACAATGAGAACATAATCTGTTCTATGTCTTCAAGTCGGCGATGATTGGCGTTTTGTTTGTTGGCTACCATGCTCGGCTTTTAGCGGTGTGTGGCAATAGTGAGTGTTGCCAATGAATCGATGGACGCGTAGTGTTGTGGAGACAAGTAGCTCGTTAACGGTCTGACCGCGTGGGGATTCATAACAAGCATTTTGCCGAAAGAAGGTCTAGTATCTTGATGGTATGCATTCTAAATACGCACATGATGCACCCAGCATTTTCCAATTCTCCACAGGACTTCGGTTGATGCTCTTGGCCTTTGGCTCAGCTTCTTTCTCGTTTTGTGAGAATTATACGATGCGGGTAGTATGTACAATCCTTCTGGTCATCGACGATTCTACCGGACACATTCTCCGAATCATTGCTGGTGTTCGATCTTCGTGATCAGGGTTCCGACATGAGGGAGTAGTTCGACAGCGAACTCATCACCCGCCGTCAAGAACTCCTTGGGGTTCTTGGCCGCTCCGACACCGGGAGGAGTACCTGTCAGGATAATGGTACCGGCAGGCAAAGTTGTTCCCTGCGACAAGAAGCTGACGAGTTGAGGGACGCTGAAGATCAAATCACTATTGGAGCACGGGTCAGCGTGAGAACAAGCAGTGGATTCGTAGATTGATGCTTCCATACGTCAGAGGGCAGTCCTGCATGACCCGGCCGTTCTTCACGCCGCGAATGTGAAGCTTGCTGGCGTCAGGGATAAGAGCTGAGGAGACTAGGACAGGTCCTTGTACCAGGGGCGGTCAGCGCAGTGGTTCCAGGTGATTTGAATGACGGAATAGCTTACCAATGGGGCATGAGGTATCGAAGCCCTTGGAGAAAGACCACTGGCTTTGGTTCATCTGTGATGTCCGGCTGGAAACATCATTGGCGGCGGTGTAACCAAGAACGTAGTCCAGAGCCTCTGCCTCGCTGACATCCTTCGCATCACGGCCAATGACAATGACCATTTCAGACTCGTAATCGCCCGTGTTGTCGACCTGTGTGATCTTGGGGAGAATAGTCGGTGCCGGCCATGGGTCCGCAAGCGCGGTGGACGGCTTCAGAAAGAGAGTCGGTACATCGGGAATAGTCAGCTTCATCTCTGCAGCGTGCGAGACATACTAATGGACAAAGAATTCGCAAATGATCAGCACCCAGCTACATCCAGAGCAAGAGTTTGCGAGACTCACATTCAACCCAATGCATCGAATGGATCCAACCTCGCTCTGCGCCAGAGGAGAAAGGATCCGCTCAATTGTCTCTGTCGTGTCGGTCTTCTGGCCTGGGTTGAGAACAGATGTGCCAGTGAATGGTCGTACGGAGACATCCTTGCCCTGGTAGACAGCCAAACCAACATCCACCTGCGGATCTACCGGCTCACCGATCAGGATCTTAGTAGGGTTGGATCTGGGAACAAAGCGCACAAGGCCTATATGATGTTAACATGATTGCGCTGTAGAAATCTCAAGATGCGTGGATAGGACGTACGCGAAAAGGTGGAGGCTATCTTAGACATAGTCTTGAGGGTGGAAAAGAAGCTAGACGGACTTAAAGGGGTATCAAGAATGATTTCAGAAAGAAGCACGGCTCAGTGTTCTTGTGAAAACCATACTCCTTATGAAAGCCCCTCTCGGGACATTTCTACCCCAGCACCGCTGCGGATGCATTATCGCTCAGGACTCGGAGCCCTGCCGATAACAGCGAAGGCGGGGATGTTGGAGGAGGGGCCGCTTCAGCAAAGTGGGAGATGGGATTCGGGAGCAGAGGAATTGCCGTTGAAGAACTCTAAACTTAGCTGCAAAGGTCAAAAGTTCGGTTTATCGCACTGAATTAGTTTAGATGAGTCCGCCAGGCCCCAGAGATCCCCACGTTGGATTGTGGGGATGTCACCATTCCCGAGGGGAAATGCGGATAAAACTACTACGGTAGACACAAACATCCGTGGCTATCTCCGAGTATTGAAGATCTCTCTTCGTTTAAAGTGATGGGAAATCGCTGCTCGTGAGATGACACCTGTTCCGTTATATTAGATCGAATCTCATTTCGGGTCAACCGTCACAATGGCCACGCCCAAGGGACCTTTCCGTCTTGTTACTGTCAACACTGCTCCCGAGAGAGCCAAGCGTCTTATCGGACGTGTTGCCGATACCCTCAAGGACCGATATACCATCATTCATGTGGACAACTGCGAGAGTGAGAGGGCCTTGCTGCCGATAATAACCAGGGTAGCAGAGTGCTGATTGTATCATCAATGCAGAAATCGAGGAGGTTGCTCCTAAGGTGAAGGAGCATATGCCTGACGTTCTGGTATGCCATTTATCATGCATCTCATTATTCTCATTGTTCCACATTTTCAAATATAAATCCTTCCTTCACTGCATTTCCCGAATCCTACGATTGCAGAGCTAACGTGTTTTGTCCGGCTGTAGTTCAGCGCCTCCATGTGGACTGCCGAGGAAGCCCGCCAGATCCACGAGATCGCCAGAGAAATCAAGCCCGATATCAAGCTACATGCCATTCCCACCGGTCTCCAAGTCGAACGGGGCCCCGATGCCATTGTCGAATATCTGTGCGAGAAGGTGCCACCACTTCTGTATGCCTAAACCACGGATTCTGAGCTTCTCTTTCGACGGTCGACCATTTGAAACCAGCGCCATCGACCATGATTATGTCTGTTCTTGTACATATTTTCTGTAAACAAACTGCAGCGAGATGAGTGAGCGTTAGGCATTGTATTTCTTGTAGTGCTTAGCATTCAAAAGCTACGGTACCTGGACGACAGTTTTGTTCTATAAGCCTGGAGGCCCATTGTTTCTTGTGGTTCGTGAAGTATCATCAATAGAGGACTTCATTATTATAGTAGGTACCGAGGTAAGCTAATACCCAAAGTGTCGGGATAGCGCTACGCGAGCGGGTATTGGGCCCAAGGGGGGGGGGGGGGGGAAATCTCCGCTCAGGAACCCAAGTCTCGATCTTGATGGTTCTTTGACTGGGCCTGACCCAGACAAGAATGACCAGTTGAACTTCACCATCAGAGTGGTTTATCCACCAGCTTGCGTCTCCACGGAGCCGTTCTAGCGAATCTGACATTCCAGCCTCAATCGCCCAGACGGGCCAGGATGCATCCTGAGGTCTAACAATCAAGTTCTTGAACGCTGAGTCGGCCTCCTTAGACGAGCCCCTGTTTCCACGGAATGTAGTTGACTGAACAGGAACGACTTCGTCACCGTCAACCGCCATGGACGCTCTCAGACGGAGAAAGATTTCATGTCCTATTATTGCGTGGGCTCTCTCGTGGGGTTCGGACGGTACTTTCACGATCAGAGTCTCGATATCCGCGAAATACGTGAAGCGGACTCGGCTGGCTCCAAGGGTGTCGCGGCGGCTCTCGATGGATTCGAAAAGTTGTGATGTGACACCACTGAACGATAGGTATGAGTCTTCAATTCTTCCGTTTTCGAGCTCCTTTTTCCTGTTGTCTACCGCCGATTTGAAGTCTCGTAGGTTTCCTATTGGGGTGCGAGGGTAGATATTGGTGGGTGCCAGTTGAGTCGAGGGCGGAGACAACATTTCTGGACCTTCGCGAGCTGGGGGCTCTTCTCCTGCTTGCAGGTTCATAGACACCGGAGTTTGTCTCTCGTATGGAGGGAATACATGACTAGCACGAGGTAAGTGACGGTGAGAATGACGTCAGTCTTAGAGTCCTTACCTGTACACTGTTGATGCCGAAGTTTAGTAACCTCACGGCCGAGATGCAGAAGCTCGTCTTGGACGTTGAAGAGCCTGGAGACTACTTGCTAGATGGAGGAGAGAGGATGATAGAGTAGGGAGAACGAGTCGGGAGAACTAGTCGGGAGAACAAGTAGAGAGAAAGAGTAGAGAAGAATGGCTTTATATAAGAACTCAGCCAGGGTGAGTCCTGGGACGTTTCATTATTCACAATCTCTAACTTTCGAAGTGAATATTCTATTCAGTGATCATACATTTCCTGAATACGTACTACTCTTAGGGAATTTAATACAACCTACCTATCTGGTAGTTTGTCCCTATGATTGCTTTTTACCTACTCTCACATAGACCTCACATAGACCCTTAGTCGAGCCGAGTTACTAATGGTATAATGTCAAATGAATCACTTCTAACTGGACATAGACATAATGAATTTACTCAAAGCATCTTCTGGCTAGTTATAGTATACTAGGCTTAAGCCGCTCGTTGCATCTTAAGGATGATAGGCTCTTGTTTAGTACATGATCACTTACAGCATAGGCTCTGGAGCCTCTTGTATAGCTCATGCAATGACTCAAGCTACATCGTCTGTGTCTTTCTTTCGCTGGCATTCCAGAGAATGAAGGTGTTTGTTGGTATCCTGGCCGGTTCCTGATTATGGAGTCACTCTCTGGTTTAGCCACGTCTTCTGTATTCTGCAGGCTAGACTTGATTTTTTTTGTTTTGTTATATGTTTATTTAATTATTTAATTATCCCTCCTTTTTTGGCTGTAGCACAATTATGGAACCCATCTCACGGCAAGTCTATATAGAAGACCCACGCAGAGTAGAGCAAGAAAGATGCCTTGTTGCTAGATACAGCCTTGTGACATTAAACTGATAGGTAATCGACTGACTCTTGAGATATCGGCCGGGATGAATGATGGGTGGCAACCCTCATTGAAAAGGCCATGATGATGCCCACTAGCGTAGGGGCTTTGAGACCGAAGCCCGAAGGTCCCTTGTAGTCCAGGAGAGCAGGGTGCGTGACCTGGTCAAATAGGGGCGCGACATGGGCATTCTGCCAGACAATCAGCCGCACAATCTCTGTAGTGCCTCTCCGGGCCCACGAAGATGTTGTCGAGATTTAAGTCCTTGTGCCACAGAACAGCCGCCTGACAGTCGTCAGACGGCAGGATGGGACCGACAACCTTTAGAACGTCGCGGCACACCGAAAGCTTGAGAGCACAATTAGGTTGATACCCCCCAGGGCCAACAATTCTTTCAGGTCGGAAGGGCCGCCTTGCGTTCCGAATGGCCTCCATCTCCCGGTAACAGATCGCTGTTATGTACTCTTGTGCAGTGCTCCCTGGGGTAAATCAGTTATTCAAGTCAGAGTATGCAGTAAGAGAAACATAGGCAGAAATTACAAGGGCCCCGGTCCAAACAGAGCTCTCCTCTTCCATCATCAAAAAAGCGCCGGTCAGTGGTAGGCCCGAGGACCCAGCGTTGACAAGTATCATTCGAGCCCAGAGCCGGTAGGCGCTTGATCCCACTCGGGATATCGTCGGGATAGTACAGAGAGCCAATGACACCAAGGGGGTGGTTCACTAGTTTAACATCGAACTTAGCAATGGCCTGGATAATATCCCTCTTTTGGTCATTGCTTAATTGTGGCCAGACGTGTGCAAGAGAAGAGCCAGGCACTTTCTCCATAATGATGTACACTGCCCTGACCGGATTATCTGATGCGCGCGAGCTCCAAGCGAGCACCTTCGGGACTGGCATACCAAGCTTATTTCTCGCCTGAAAATAGTTAGTGTAAGAGAATGCGACCAAAACGAATAGTGCTTTGTGCACAGACATAATCCATCGTCGCGACTTCGCTGGCGATTGTTAAGTGCGGAATACCAGAGTCGGCATTAGGAACTGGAGCGACGACTTGTGGATCCATCGGCCATAGTAAGAAGAGGTCTTATTAAAGTTCCCTTCCGGCAGTTTCACAATTCTGATGTATGATGCAGGCTCCTGGTCGAGGCATCTTGCAGTGATAGCTACTAATGAGCTTATGTTGAACCGAACATAGGGAGCTGCAAACTACTGAGCCTCGTTAAACAACCAACTTCCAGCAGTGTAGCGGTAGTAGTCAGAGTCGGAGCCGTCATCTAGGAAACGTCAGAAGCTTGCATTTGACATTGGGAACAGACTAATGTGCTTAAAACAATCTTTACCGTATTCTCTGGTGGAGGATGTTCGTTTTATTACCCTGGGCGCGACGTTTGACCTCAACCTTGTGGAAACAATAGCTGGAACGTGAAGAAATCCCACAGAGCGAACAAGTATTGATTCAGCTGCGACATAGGGAGATTGACTTTGAACACACCATCGCTTGGTGTATAACGCTAGCAAGAGATGATATGCGTTAGGCTAATCAAAATCTACAAAATTATCTTGGAAACACATAGTATGAAGTACATAGCACATACCATCTTCGTTCTGTTTCCTTTTCTGGAACGATCCGAAGGTATCGGCTTAGTCATCGGTTTTCTTGGACTCCGCGGTCTGTGAAGACCGGGCCCGTCTTCCTCTATACAATCTTCCATATTCATGAACATTCCGCAATGTCGTTCGCAAGGGTACAAACGAGGGTTGCGTCCAGCATCCGAGCCTTCTCGACGTCTCGTGTGCTTGGGTCAGAGCTCTCGTATCAGGTTTTCGGCCCAGAAAAGGAACAAGCCACCCGAGATCCCATTGTCTTCTTGCACGGTCTCTTCGGCTCGAAACAGAACAACAGAAGTATTAGCAAGTAGGTTAAAGGCCCTGACGAGCAGACTCTAACGCTTCCGTAGTCAACTGACTGACTGACCTCACAGGGTTCTTGCACGTGACCTCAAACGGCAGGTCTTCACTCTGGTCTGTCTCTCAGTGCATCTTAAGTGTGGACGACGAAATCGCTCATGGTCTTCAGGATTTGCGGAACCATGGCCACTCTTTCCATCACAACGAGCATAACTATTCCGTCATGGCCAAAGATGTTGAGAAATTCATCCACCAGCACGATCTGGCCAAGTGTGTCCTGATTGGTCATTCCATGTATGTTTCTATTCTCCAGGGCTGCCAGAAAGGCCGGACCATACTTAACTCTTCCTGAAAACAGGGGAGCAAAAACTGCAATGACAGTCGCTTTGCAATCGTCAGATCTAGTTTCGGCTCTCATACCTGTCGACAATGCTCCTGTCAATGCTCCTCTGAAGAGTGACTTCGAAAAGTATGTGCGAGGCATGCAAGAGGTCGAGGCGCAAGGAGTCACCAAGCAGTCGGATGCCGACAAGATCCTTAAAGAATACGAGAAGGTAAGTTTCTCCCTCTTGTGCTCAGACTGGGTTTTGGGTCAAAGCAGTAAACTCACACCAATTGCACAGTCCCTCCCCATCCGTCAATTTCTCTTGACCAACCTAGTTCGCGCGGAAGATGGTCAGAAGATGAAATTCCGTATCCCTTTGTCGGTGCTGGGACCGGCTATTCCTGCCATGGCTGACTTCCCCTTCCGCGAACCGGGCTCCGTCACTTATGAAGGGCCGACGCTCTTCGTCAGAGGCACGAAGAGCAAGTATGTCAGCGATGACACGGTTCCTGTGATCAAGAAGTTATTCCCCAATGCTGAGATAGCGGATGTTGAGGCAGGTCATTGGCTGATCTCGGAGAATCCCGAGGCTTTCAGGCAAGGTATGTGTAAAATTAACCTTATTGGGTTATTAAGTTTGTTGACTAAGGATATTCCAGCTGTTGTGAAGTTCTTGCAAGATCTGCCGTAGAGTATTTAGTTTGCATATAGAGGTGGAAGGACGGCGTCTTTGTGCTTATGTATATGTTTATCCATTCTGTGCCACTTTCAGAGTGATTAATGAAGGTCTATTCATAGACACTTGTATGAAAAGGAATAGACAAAGAAGGAAAGAAGTGATACAAGTAATAGTGATGTGATCTCGATGATAATCCAACGTGTGCAAGTAACAAAGTAATCGTGAGGATCGTGATCGCTTGGCCAGTAAATGCTTGAAGACCGACGCTGAACTCCAAAACGAGGAATCAAGACTAGTCTATGGTGATGGGTCCCTCCGTGATCAACCTGCGTTTTTTCTTCTTCTTGGTCTTTCTCTTGCTCTCCGAGGGCGATGCATCTTCATTGTCCAACGTATGAGCTGGTGAAGAGAATGTCATGGGAGACTCGTTTCTAGCACCAGATGACCTCTCATTTTCATTGTCGGATACGGTTGAAGGGCGTGGTCGTTTCTTCTTTCTTTTCTTCTCGCGCAATGCCAGCGCAGGATTGGCCTCGGTCATCTCAACAAAGTTTGGGTGTGGGGTGGCATCTGATCCTGCAGGGCTCTGTTCTCGCTTGGGCGATTGCATCCCACTGGCTGGGAGAGAATCTAGCGCCTGCACTATGGATTGCTGGGATTCCAAAGAATCTTTGAGCGTATTAATTTGCTCTGACAAATCCCGATGATCGGCCGACACGGATTCCTCGAAGCGGCGGAACCGATCATCGAGCGATTGTAAATCCTTTTTATTTAAGGTGATTTCACTCATCATGACTTTCATCTGGTTGAGGCCACTGGATAAGTTTTGGACCTGGTCTTTCAATTCGCGGAAGGATTCATCCAATTCAATTCTGTTTTGACCATCGGCAACCTCTTTGCCTTTAATATGGTCCTTAACACCAGAGATGTGCTCTCGGTATTGCTCAGTAAGAGAGTCGAAGTCGGCGTGTAACTGCTGAATTTTATCTGGCAGAGCGCGTACCTCCTCTAGCTGTTCCGTGAGAGCAGAGACCTGATGAGCTACCTTTCCAAAGGACTCCCTGAGATGGGTTACTTCTGCTGAACGCTGGCCGATGTCGTCTTGAAGGCGGTTTACCAAAGCCTTCTGACTATTTTGGGTCTGGACAAGCTGCTCAATGGTCTTTTTCAGAGATGATATTTCTTTCTCGGCTTGATTTTTCAAGGTTGTGATCTGCTCTGTCAATTGGCCTGCAGAGGGGTACATCTCTTGCATGGCAACAACCATGTTCTTTACGACCATTTCAGTGGAAAGATGGTTGTAACGTGTCTCCAGGGAATGGAGGCCGACGCGCACACTCTCGAGTAAGCGATTGGAATTTTTCAATGCCTTGTCGACTGTGTTGATTTTCTCGTCTACCGTGTGAATTTGCTGGAGGGCTGCTGCGGGGTTCCACTGGCTCATTTTCTGTATATTTTCAGCGAGGCGGCTGCAGGTCTCTTTCAACGATTGTATCTCAGCTTTATCCACGGCTGCTGCACGGTCCAACTGGCTCATTTTCTGTATTTCTCCAGCGAGGCGGCTGTAGCTGTCTTTCAATGACTGTATCTCAGCTTGATCTACAGCTCCTGCACGGTCCGACTGGCTCATTTTCTGTATTTCTCCAGCGAGGCGGCTGTAGCTGTCTTTCAATGATTGTATGTCGGCTTGATCTACAGCTCCTGCACGGTCCAACTGGCTTATTCTCCGTGTTTCGTCAGCAAGGCGGCTGTAGCTGTCTTTCAATGATTGTATGTCGGCTTTATCGACGGTTGATTTCTTAATCTCCTCCATTTCTGCGAAATGAAACTCGTCTTTCATCGCCTGAAGGCTTTGCAATTGCTGGAGTTGTTCTGATAAATTCTGGACTGTCGACTGCAAGGATGAGTCAGGTCTGGGAATCTTGGATAGATTGTCTTCGACATTCTTCAGACGCAACTCAATATTAGATGCGTCAAATGGAACTGTCGCTGGACCCTCCGGCGGAATTACCTGGACCTTTTCTATCGGGGCCAGACGCTCGTGGATCTCTTTGAATTTCTTCTCAAAAGTAACAGAATTATCGTTGCTGGCATCGAGACGTTTCTGCTGCGCATCGATACTTTTGTTTACTCTTTCGAGAGAACCCGAATATTCCTCCTGTGCCTTTTGCAAAGAGCTCAGCTTGGCATCCAAGGCCATAGTGATTCTTTTCAACTCCTCAACTTCCGATGAAAAGTGTTTCAGTATGGTTTCCTGAGAGGGAAATTGAGCAATATCTGAGCTCAATTTATCAACGCGTTCCTTAATCTCTTTTTCGTATCTCATCTGAGCGTTGATAGAAGTCGCATGGTTGCCGGAAGTCTTCTCGAGTAGGACGACACGATCCTGAAGCATCTTCATCTTGGTCTCTAGTAACTGATATTTCTCACGACTCGCTTCTGATTCCGAATCTCCCGCTCGCTTCTTGAGTGCCCGAATTTCATCCTGTAGTTTGTTTATCTTCTCGTCTGAATCAGAATGGTTGCGCAGAAGCAAAGGCACCCATTTGGTCGTGAGAGAATTTTCTAGCTGTCGATAGTGTGCTTGGTGTCTAGTGATAGTCTCATCCATTCGTGTCAACTCAGAATCTTCATCCTTGCGAGCTTGCTGGAAAAATGCTGTGGTTGATGGGAAATTTGGCGCAGCTTTTGCCTTTCGCAGCAGACCCTCTGTCGTGTCCTTCTTCTTCAGCAATTTATCCTTTTCGACTTCTCGAGTAGCTGTGTCAACAGCAGCTTTAATCAATTCTGAGAGGGTGCGAATGAATTGATCTCCAGGAGCCCCATCTTGCCTGTCAATAGGCGGAGGGTTGTTCGGTGACCGTACCCCTAACTTATGACCATTAGGAGAACCCCATATGCCAGTATCTAGAGATGCTGTCCTAGCTGGCGCTGGCCTGTTTCGACTGACGAGGCGAGGATCGCGTGAGGTGGGGGTATTTGGATTGTCGACATCCATTTTGTCTGCCAGCTATACATTTAGAGGGCTAATCTATGAGATTGCCCGTCTCTAGTCATGTGTAGCCCGCACCTGATGGCAAATAGAGGCGAAAATGTAGCTTGTGCGCAACTGTATCTCACAAAATTGATTTCTCTCATCTCGCCCTCAACT